AAAAAAAAAAAAAAAAAAATCACGTGTTACAGATGAAGAGAAGGTAACAAGCGTTCGTGGGGTGGCCGTGCATGGTGGGAGTGACCCGGGAAGGTTTCTCGGAGGAGAAGGGGTGGAAATGCAGGGAGGACAGGTCCTGGCCGAGGGCGGGAGTCACCAACACCAAGCCCCTCATCAGACGAGGACTGTCACAACTGGTTTTCCTTGGTTGTGCAAAGTGGTTCCGAAACCGGTCAGTATACGCAGCTGTGTCCTCAGTGGATGTGAGAAGGGTTTGGGCCTCAGTGGTGCCTCCCGGGCGCCTCTGATTTAGCTGGAGCGACACGCACGGCTCTGAACCGTGGCTCTGGGGGCTGATCTCACCTGTGAGACGGAGCCCTGACTGGGACCAGTAAGCCGAGTGCAGCGCCTGGAGCCCAGGAGGGGCTGGAGAGCCACCGGTTTCCTGTGTGACTGTGGTCTGTTGAATCATTCCAGTGATGGGGCGCTGGGGGGCTCAGTTGGAGAAGCACCTGACTTGGGCTCAGGTCATGATCTCGTGTGTCGAGAGTTCGAGCCCCGTGTTGGGCTCTGCACTGACAGTGGGAGCCTGCCTGGGATTCTCTCTCTCTCTCTCTCTCTCTCTCTCTCTCTCTCTCTCTCTCCGCTCCTTCCCCAGCTCGCTCTCTCACTCTCTGTCAGAATAAATAAAAAAAAAAAACAAAAAACATTAAAGAAATGATTTCAGTGAAGACTTTCCAGACACACTCCGGGCAAAATTGATCATTGCCTCTAGGTTCCTACGGCCCAGAAGCCTAGTCTTAGTGAGACAAGCTGGGTTTGAATCCTGGCTCCCGCACTCCCCGGCTGGGTGACCTGGAAGGAATTCCTGCATCACGCTAAGCCACACGCGCTGCGCTGCCGAGGTGCCGGTCCCTGCGATGTCCCCAAACGTGCCAAGCCCGACCGCGGACTTCGTAGGGGGGTGGGGGGTGGCGCGTCCCGCTCTCCCCTGACAGTAAGTGGCTAAGGAGGGGCACAAATTAGCTGCAGCAGAGGGCTTCCCGCCCCCCACCCGTCAGGAGGCTGGTTAGGGGGCAGACCCGCCCCCCCAAAGAGCTGTAGGTCTTTCCAGGCAGAGAACCGGGTCGTAGCCCTTCCGCGTCCTGCTTCCCAGGCCGCAGGAGACCCAGCCTCTCCACTTCCAGGGCGGGAATTGCATTGGACTGGGCCCAGAGCAGGGTGTCGGCAGGGTCGCTGAGGGGGGCTTTCTGGGGTCTCTGTGGAAGCAGCCCCGGGAGGGGCCGGGACAGCGTCTGGGAGTCCTCGCGCCCCGTGCGCTCGGCCTGTGCGCCAGGCGGCGGTGACCGGACCCCCGGGTGACGACGTGTGGCCACACACGTGTGTGCACCAACTACAGCAGCAGGTTAGGCGTGTGTGTGTGGAGGGAGCTCGCCGACCGTGAAGACGCGCCCTCCTCCCACTGCGCAGCTGGCCGGGCCCCGGGCAGGCGGCTGCCAAGCGGTCAGTCGGAGCCGAATCACCGGCCCCGCACCAGCACCGGCCCCGCGCCGGTCTCCTGTTTTTCCAGGAGGTGCGGTCAGGCCTCGTTCTCGGGAGGAGGGCGGGGATACCCCGCACCTCACCGCGCTGCCCTTTGCTCAGCCCGACGGTGTGTGTGAAGCACATACCCCTGGCCCTGGCCGGCTCACAGGCTGCAGCGCCCTTGTCCCTGCCCTGGTCCCCTCTGCAGGCACACGGTTGGTGAGCGTCTCGTGTCCCCCTCTTACCCTTCCGTTTGTAAAGAGTTTCCAGCACAGATATCATCTCATCTTTCAGATTTCTCTCACAATGTGATTTGCCCTTGAGGCTTTTATATGTCTTTTTTTAAGTTTATTTCTTTTGAGAGAGAGAGAGGTGGGGGGAGGGGCAGAGAGAGGGAGAGAGGATCCTAAGCAGGCTCCCCACTGTCAGCGCAGAGCCCAGCTCAGGGCTCGAACTCATGAACCGTGAGATCATGACCTGAGCTGAAACCAAGAGTTGGATGCTCAATGGACTGAGCCACCAGGCCCCCCTCTTTTTCTCCTCCTCCTCCTCCTCCTCCTTTTTCTTCTTCTTCTCCT